ATGCTTGGAGCATCACCATCGTGTGCAATGAAGCGACAGCCCGACCTGCTGCTGCTGTGTATGCCCTGGCATCCGAGTGAGATGTCAAGGAGGGAGTCTTAAGAGAGTACGTCTCACCCATAGAGAGATAGCTGGGCAGCGTCTCTCGATAGGGACATCTTCTCATAACCGCTTTCGCGCATCACCTCGATGTTGGCATAACTCGTATGCTGGAATCGATGGATGCGTGAGGAAAAAACGGCCTCTTCCATTTACTGTTATAATGCTTTGCTATTGACAACAGTCATTATAAGGAAGGAAATGCTGCAGAACAGAATCGAGTATTCCAGTATAGTCACCTGACCCAACAACTTATTTTGTTCATTTAAAGTTTGTGTGTGTGTGTGTGTATATATATATATATATATATAAGTGATCTTTTATTATTATTAGGGCTCCGTGTTAATGTTAATTTAATGTTTATGCTAAAAAAAGTGCATATAGCTGCTAATTGGGTTTGTTGTTTGTTGATTTTCAGATATAAAACTAACTGAAATGTTTTCAGTGTGTGTGTATCAGTTCTTTTTGAACATTTTCATCTCATTTGAACAAAACCGTGATAATATTGATATTTATGATAACTTTGATCACTATAATCGTGATATGAAAATTTTATACCGTTACATCCCTAATTGACATCCATTCAAAAAAAAAAAAAAAAAACGGCCTCTGGTCTCCTTCCCTGCGTATCACCAAAGCGGAAGCATTAGCATTAGCCGTTAGCTTTTTTGGCTAAAGGTTGCCTTCCAGTGGCTTTGACAACAATGGCCCTGTACCAAATGGCACACTTCATGCACACTTGCGGTCTTACAATGGCCTCGTGTGCGCGTGTCCGTTAAGTCCACGAGGCCGTAGGGTGTCCCATTCGTCATTTTAGCTTTCAGAAGGGTGCTCGTGAGCTCGGCTGCTATGAGCCCTTCTTCTGCCGAGCCCGCACTGGGGCGAGCTCTGTGGTAGACTTCTACCCGACAGTCAAAGCGCACATTAAAGTGTGGAGTCAGAGGAAGACCGCGAGTGTTTAGGGTGCGATTTGGGACAGGGCCAATGTCTCATATGCAGGGCTCGAATTGATGGGGGATTCGGGGGGATGGCATAATTAAGAAATGATCACCCTGTTCTAATTCACGCTAGCTGACATTATATAGTATCTCAGGGACTTTGCAAAAAAACACATCTTGAGAGTCCAAAAGCATGAAGCCTATTACAATGCAGTTAGAATGCCTCTATAATTCAAAAAAATTAAGAAAAGAAAATACTGTATATCACTGTGTGTTATTTTTTTTAATCTTTATATGATATAGTTAAGCATTATCACACAAGAACCTGCATGTGTGCGTGATCGCAAATGTTAATTTAATTTTAAACAGCAGTTCAACAGAAAAGAAGAAGATGAGTGAGTTACATTTTAGAGATATTTTGTCTTTTTTCCTGTTTTGCAAATGAAATAGTTCCCAACAAAGCCGGAGCAGAGCTGTTATGCATCTCAGAGCAACACTGCAGTGTTTCTCTCCCGAATGAATCTGTTTTTGAATGAATCAGTGAGCCAATTATTCAATGATCTATTAATTAAGAACTTGAAGTGAAGTGTGGCGACCCATATTCAGAACTTGTGCTCTGTATTTTACTCATCTGTACACATGCACATGTACACACAGCAGTGGGCAGCTGTTTTTGCTGTGGCGCCGGGGAGCAGTTGGGGGTTCAGTTCTTGCTCAAGGGTCTCACCTCAGTTGTGGTATTGAGGGTGGAAGAGAGCGCTGGTTATTCACTGCCCCACCTACAATTCCTGTGGGACCTGAGAGTCAAACCTGCAACCTTCGGGTTACAAGTCCGACTCTCTAACCATTAGGCCACGACTGCCCCACTTGCTTTACTTCTAATTGAATCAGCCATTTTGAAAGAATCGTTTGATAGAAGAATTCAATGAATCATTAAAACAGACACTTGCTGCCACCTACTGGCGGTTTTAGTGTCATATTTATTTATCCATGACAAGCCTAAACCAGCACAAAAACACACTCAGCGCAAAAAAACATTAGACATTGTGCGCCCATTTCAGGCCTTAAAGAAGAGGTTAAGGACCATCTTGATCCCTCTCAGAACAACAGGGGCACTAATGATGCTATCCTGACTATGGTGCATCAGGTTGTAAAACATCTGGAGGACCCTAAGGCTCATGCCAGGTTGTTCTTCCTTGATCTGAGCTGTGCAGCCACACCTTGTGCTCTCCAAACTTAGTTCGGCTGCCAATCCTGACAGTATCAAATGGTTCCATTAATTTCTGGACTCAACAAGATAAAGTGAAGCAGACTCTATCCAAATGCAGGTCCATTAGTATTGGTCTTCCCCAAGGGAAGGTCGAAAAACATCAGACCACAGAAGGCAAGACCATCAGCAAGAACGTTCAAATATTCCAGAGAGACACGTAATGATTTTTCCAGTAAACTGTGCGAGGTGCTTTGTGTGTTACCTGAATACTTCCCTCCTTTGCTCTTCTTGATGTAGCACAGAATGAGCAGCACCAGCAGCAGCAGAACCATGGTGCTGATGAGTCCGATGAACCAGCCCTGAGTCGCAAAGCTACTGGACAACTCGTGCAGCTCTGAGAAAGAGACAACACATGAGAGCATGGAATGAATAAAGCGATCCGGAGGTGCTTGTTACTAGCCTGTACCTGGTCCAGCCGTTTTGAATTCCCAGGAGTTGTTTCCAGGCCGGATCTGCAGGTGGTACTGAACGCCCGGTGCCAGACCCTGCAGCTGATAGAACGCCTGCGAGGAGTTGACCTTCTCCGACTCTTCCCATTCACCACCTGCTACCATACACACAAACAACATCCTCATTGAGTTCAGCATGAATAGCATACATTTTTTCAGGTTTTCTCATATGGGACATCTGGGCAAAACCTGTACCTCCAACCCACACAAATCAGTACACCTACACTAACATCGATAGTGTTTCACCTGTATCTCATACCAATATAAATTTAGCCATACATAAAGAGTGCAAATGACTTAGTCCCACCTAGATTTCATTTGCCATTAAAAAGCTTTTATTTGACATTTTACTGACAAATTAGAATCCCACTATGTGAGCCTTTAAGTATAGTGCCCAAAAAAATTAAACGGAGGGCTGTGGGGATGAAAGTTAATGTTGCATTATATCTAACTATAATATCAACATCAAACTTACTTAAAATCTCTACGTTTCAATGCAAAAGGATAAAGTAGAAATGAAGATGCTTCAAGGGCATTTATTTTTCCCTATTTTTGCCCTGTCTTATGACATCGAATGGCATGCCTAATTTGGCCCACATACCCTGGTTTGGGCATCTCTGCCTCAGAGGATAAAGATTTATACATCTCTTCATATGTAAATGGCCATACATTTTAGATGCTATAGATTTAAGATACATTTCAGTGTTCATCCGAACATTCAAAAACATCCTCTAGCTACACATACAAATTACGTTTACACTATCATCACTAATGTTTGATGATGGTGATCAACAACATCAATGATGATACTATGACAGAGGGGGGGCAAACTACGGCCCGCTGAATACTTTCATCTGGCCCACGAGGGAGTCTTTAAAAATGCTACATTTGAGTAACGGTCTTAGTTCAGAATTACTAATTCGATGCAATACAAGAGAACGCCATTTGATGGCAGTATAGCACGCGGTACAGTTAGAGACTACAGTAGAATTAGAATGCACTCGGTAGTAACTTGGATGAACAATTACCAGGCGCGTGTTAGTAACTGCAGAGGAGCTGCTTTCTCCGAACTAAAAAAAAAAAAAAAGCAGACGGCTTCAGTCTTTTTTCTATCGCACTTGATGAAAGTTCAGACACTGCTCAACTTTTGATTTTTGTCAGAGGAATAAACGAAAATGTTGAAATAACAGAAGAACTCATCGGGATGGAATCAATGATGGGAATGACCAGGGGCAAGGATTTGTATGACAGTGTGTCCGTCTGCCTGGAAAAAAATAATCTGCCGTGGAGAAAGCTGACAAGCATCACAACAGATGGATCGCCGGTAAAAACACTGGATTGCTAAAAAGGTCGCAAGACAAAGTAAAAGATGAAACCCAGAACTCAGAAGAACTGATATTTCTTCACTGCATCATACACCAGGAAGCCTTGTGTAAAAGTGTGTCGAAGCTAGAAAATGTTGTCAAAGTGGTTGTGAAGCTTGTCAACTTTATACGGGCAAGAGTGCTGAACCACCGGCAGTTCATTCAGCTGCTTAACGAAACAGAGGCAGAGCACCATGACCTCTTGTACCATTCAAATGTGCGCTGGCTAAGTCTCGGCATTGTGTTTCACCATGTCTGGGAACTAAAAGGTGAGATAGCAACGTTCCTCAATACGACTGGCAAAACTGACGACTTCCCCATATTACAAGACACAGACTGGCTGGCCGACCTCGCGTTCGATGTCGACACACTGAGGCATCTGAATTATCTTAATTTGAGACTTCAGGGAAAGGACGTTTTTGTGCACGAACTGTACAGCAACGTGAAAGCATTCAAGGCCAAACTTGTACTGTTCTCCAGACAGATATCCAGTTGAGATTTCGCTCATTTTCCTACACTGACCGGACTAAGCACACCAATAACACAGTCTCGCATTGAGAGGTACAGCAGCACTTTGATCGACCGGCATGTAGAATTTTCCCGTCACTTCACAGACTTTGCAAAAATTGAGACTGAACTTGAACTTGTCTCATGCCCCCTATCTTTTGACAGTGAGAAAGCACCACCAGACACACAACTGGAACTCATCGACATGCAGTGTGACAGTACATTGAAGGAGAAGTTTCAGACAGCACCAGTTAACCAGTTTTATGCCTCACTGAATGAAAAAAAATTCCCAAACATTAAATAGCATGCCCAAAGAATGCTTGTTTTATTTGGATCCACATATGTGTGTGAACAAACCTACTCAGTCATGAACTACAACAAATCCCACCGTAGATCAAATTGAACAAACGGCCACTTGTCAGCTATCCTGAGGATCTCTACATCAAAGATCACTCCAGACTTTGACACCCTTGCAAGGAGAGGGGACCAGGCTCATTGTTCACATTAACACACTCATAACCATGACTTGGAAAGACAAAGACTAAGGTTCTCCTTCAGTTTTATCAGACATAGTTTTATGATGATTGATTTGCAGTGCAAACGAGATTGTCTGTTGTAAATTTGACTCAATAACAGATATTAAATAAGAATTTTGTTTAATGTGTTAATGTGACAAATGTTTCTGTCAGATAATATATGTTCCATGCATACCTCCACAGTAAATAAAAGTTATTTTATGAAGGATTTGGCATTTGGCCCTTCACTTGGTTTGCAAAACTTGATGTGGCCCTCTGGTCTAAAAAGTTTGCCCACCTCTGTACTCTGACATGTTTCATTCCTTCAGGATTCAGGAAAAGTAGATCAAAAGTTTTGTCTTAACCTTGATCAGACTCACCACTTTTTTTCAGGTAACGGAAGCTAAAGGCAAAGTTACGCCGTCTTTCTCCTGGCACCCAACTGACATTAACCGATGTTTGTCCAGCAGTTATGTTGAGTGCAGATGGTGGTTCTGCAGAGGGAACATGTAGATAATACAATATTGTAGATTATATTGTGTCCTGCTAACACACTAAACAATGAGAATGCTGTGCAGTTTCACCTCCATCCAGCAAGGTGGCGCCCTCCCTTACTATAGGTTCCCCATCACCAGCAGCGGTGCGTGCTCTAAGATCAAAGTGGTATAGGCTCTGAGGATTCAGACCCTTCAGTGTGAACTCAGTAACAAGGGGCAGATCGATGGATTCCACCTGTTGTGGGCTCGAAATCCCAGGCACAGCTAAACAGAGAACAGAACAGAAACCCATCAGAATGAAAACGACTTCACATTAAGCTTCTCTTTGTAAAGCTGTTCATTAATAACTGATAACCTGTCCTTAAATGCATTAAAAATCACATAAGCATATCTCCAAGGTAAACAAGCTGTTTCAATGTCTACTATTTATAGAAACAATCTAATCACTTAATTCACTGATACTGTATTATTTGCTTTGCTGCTTAAATAAGCTATATTTATAATTGTCTCTCAAAATTAGAATTTGCTGTAAATTTACTGTAAATCTGTTTCAAAGCTATCTGTATTATATAAAGTGCAAATACAGTTGAAATAAAAAGCCTGAGTTCACCCACTTTCGTAGTACTGCAGCAGGTAGCCTGTGAGCGCCCCGTTGGGTTTGTCTGGAGCTCCCCAGCGCAGGGTGATCTCTGTCTCTGAGGGGCTCTCGAAGGTCAAGAATGAAATTGGTCCAGGAGCTGGATGTCAGAAGAGCACAAGTTCAGCTGATCTAAATCCACATTCATAGAGGGGTGGCACTTTATAATAACTTTCATTCATAAATCATTAACAAACATTATATAATGCTTAGCAGATCATTAGTTAATATAAATATATTCACATAGCTAGAAATATTAGATAATGCTCTTGGTAATGTTTACTAATTATTAAACATTATCTAATGATTAACAAATTATTATTTCATGCAAGTTAAAATGCTTACAAATTTCATTAAACTTTCGATTCATATGATCAAGCACTTATTGAAAATCTACAAATGATTTTAACAGATGTTATACAATGATGAAAAGCTTGTGTTAATGCACAACACTTCTGCTGCTGTTGAGGTGTGATACGGGTAGGTTAGGGACGGACAGGTTTGGTGGTATGGGTAGGTTTACAGGTTGGTTAAAGGGTCAACAGTGTACAGGGGTCAGTTTGATTATTATAAAGGAACACGGTTCAATCTGCTTATATTATATTGTTTTGATAAATGAACTGAAGTATTCTTTAAAAAAATGATTTGTTTCCTCCTGTTTATTTATGATTCAAGGAATATACTGAAGAGTAATATACTAATGTGAGTGTTTTTCTGTTTGCTTTTTGTTTAGCAAGCATTTATCTAAATTTAATCAGCCACCCTTTACACAAACCTTGTTACAGTAGCCAAAAGTCCAGTGACCATAAAGATAGTAAATGATTAGTAATCGTTTATAAACATTTACAAATGATGAATAGTTTCAACTTTAGATTGGCTACTGCAAAAACATGAACAAATAATTAATGAATGATTAATAAAGATGTGTAAATAGTAGAAGTCTACACAACTGTCATGAATCCGGTCTGTGGCCTTCCGTCCAATTGCCACCAGAGGTCGCTCTCCCATTATACTGACTCTCACACCACACAGACTGTTACACATCACCCTGGACTGCATTTCCCATCATCCATTGCACTGATTGCACACAGCTGTAACCAATCACACGCTCACCTGAAAGTTATTACACACACTATATAACACCCACTCAGATCCTGCTCAAGTCGTAGAGTACTGTTTAGCATTTATCTCTCACCTAGGGATAGCTACTTTTCGGAGCCAATCCAAGTTCCTGAGTCTAGCCTTTTTCATAGTCTGTTTTCCAGTGTCTTGATCCTAGCCTGTTATCTCGTCCTGTCTGATCTCTGCCTGCCCTGAAGTTTATAGCCTGTCTTGGATTTACCCTTTGCCTTGCTGTTTCGGACTGTGTTCGGACTCGATTGGATTATTGCTTGTTTTGGATTACTGTTTTGTTTTGCCCTCAACATATCTGTTTGCTGGTTTCCGACTCTTGTCTGTGTTGACCATGCCTGTAAATAAAAGCTTGTATATGGATCCGCATGCCTCTCGTCTCATCGGCTCCGTTACAGAATACTCGGCCCCACAAGGATCCAGCAGCTTTTCAGAGGAACATTGGTCAGGTATGGACACAGCATGAATATTATTAGCACTTAAACAAGACCCACGATCGCTGGAGAACTATAGGAGAACTATATTCGAGAATATTTAGCAATAGCGCACTATTAGATTTACTGGACTGTCTTTTTATAGAGTTTTTTTGTGATGGCATTAATCAACCTCTACAATCTGAGTTTAGACGCGAGGGTCCGCGTTCGTCACTTGCTCAGGTTATGGATTATTCTCTGTTGTCTGTCGGTTCCTCATTCACCGTGGGTGTCGCGAAGGACGAACGCAACGTCACGTCCGTGCCTATCATGGCGACAACAGCGGAGTCCGTTCACAAAATGGCAGCGACAACAATGCTTTGTCATGTCACAGTTGATCTTCATGAGTCAAGTCAGGTCACCACTGATCTTCATGAGTCAAGTCAAGTCACAGCTGCTCTTTCTGAGTCAAGTCAGGTCACAGCTGCTCTTTCTGAGTCAAGTCAGGTCACAGCTGCTCTTTCTGAGTCAAGTCAGGTCACAGCTGCTCTTTCTGAGTCAAGTCAGGTCACAGCTGCTCTTTCTGAGTCAAGTCAGGTCACAGCTGCTCTTTCTGAGTCAAGTCAGGTCACAGCTGCTCTTTCTGAGTCAAGTCAGGTCACAGCTGCTCTTTCTGAGTCAAGTCAGGTCACAGCTGCTCTTTCTGAGTCAAGTCAGGTCACAGCTGCTCTTTCTGAGTCAAGTCAGGTCACAGCTGCTCTTTCTGAGTCAAGTCAGGTCACAGCTGCTCTTTCTGAGTCAAGTCAGGTCACAGTTGATCTTCATGAGTCAAGTCAAGTCACCGCTGATCTTCATGAATCAGGTCAAGTCACCGCTGATCTTCATGAGTCAAGTCAAGTCACCGCTGATCTTTCTGAGTGAAGTCAAGTATAGTTGTGCTGTGCTGATTTTTCTGGAAATGGTTTGGATTTTTCCCCCCCAGGATTGTTAATGAATAGAAAGTTAAAAAAAAACAACATTTATTTAAAATAGTAATCTTTTGTTACTTTATAAATGTCTTTACCGTCACTTTTGATCAGTTCAGTGTGTCCTTGATGACTAAAAATATTAATTCATTTTGGTATTAAATAAATAAAAACAAATAAATAAATAAACATTTTAATGGTAATATATACAAAAAACATATAATGTGTTAAACTTTAATTTGCACATTGTTTGAAGGAGAATGTTTGACAAGAGATCTGACAGAATATTAATATTTGAATAATCAAAGAAAAAAAATGGACAGATTAATCGGTTAATCAAAATAGTTTTTTTTAGTTGCTGCTCTAGTGCCCCATGTGCCACTAGTTTTTGCTGTGATGAAAATATTGTAATGAATAATGTTTTATATGTATTTGTATTAAATCTCCTTCCCAGGAAAAAGTTTAAGACTCGTTCAGGGGACACGGTTCGTCTAATGGACCTTCTTGAGGAGGGTCTGAAAAGATCCATGGACAAACTGAAGGAGAAGGGGAGAGATAAGGTGAGCCCATCAAACTCTGAAAAAATTAGCGTCTTTTTATGTCACCCTGAAAGCCTCCATCCAACTCCCTTTGTATGCCTGAGTACTCAGTTCAGAAGAGATCAATAGGTCTCAAATGCGACCAGGGGCCAGCTGTACCAATTACTGAATATATTAATCACAACTCCTTTGCTCTCAGAAATGACAAAGTAAAAGACGAAACCCTGAACTCAGAAGAACTGATATTTCTTCACTGCATCATACACCAGGAAGCCTTGTGTAAAAGTGTGTCGAAGCTAGAAAATGTTGTCAAAGTGGTTGTGAAGCTTGTCAACTTTATACGGGCAAGAGTGCTGAACCACCGGCAGTTCATTCAGCTGCTTAACGAAACAGAGGCAGAGCACCATGACCTCTTGTACCATTCAAATGTGCGCTGGCTAAGTCTCGGCATTGTGTTTCACCATGTCTGGGAACTAAAAGGTGAGATAGCAACGTTCCTCAATACGACTGGCAAAACTGACGACTTCCCCATATTACAAGACACAGACTGGCTGGCCGACCTCGCGTTCGATGTCGACACACTGAGGCATCTGAATTATCTTAATTTGAGACTTCAGGGAAAGGACGTTTTTGTGCACGAACTGTACAGCAACGTGAAAGCGTTCGAGGCCAAACTTGTACTGTTCTCCAGACAGATATCCAGTTGAGATTTCGCTCATTTTCCTACACTGACCGGACTAAGCACACCAATAACACAGTCTCGCATTGAGAGGTACAGCAGCACTTTGATCGACCGGCATGTAGAATTTTCCCGTCACTTCACAGACTTTGCAAAAATTGAGACTGAACTTGAACTTGTCTCATGCCCCCTATCTTTTGACAGTGAGAAAGCACCACCAGACACACAACTGGAACTCATCGACATGCAGTGTGACAGTACATTGAAGGAGAAGTTTCAGACAGCACCAGTTAACCAGTTTTATGCCTCACTGAATGAAAAAAAATTCCCAAACATTAAATAGCATGCCCAAAGAATGCTTGTTTTATTTGGATCCACATATGTGTGTGAACAAACCTACTCAGTCATGAACTACAACAAATCCCACCGTAGATCAAATTGAACAAACGGCCACTTGTCAGCTATCCTGAGGATCTCTACATCAAAGATCACTCCAGACTTTGACACCCTTGCAAGGAGAGGGGACCAGGCTCATTGTTCACATTAACACACTCATAACCATGACTTGGAAAGACAAAGACTAAGGTTCTCCTTCAGTTTTATCAGACATAGTTTTATGATGATTGATTTGCAGTGCAAACGAGATTGTCTGTTGTAAATTTGACTCAATAACAGATATTAAATAAGAATTTTGTTTAATGTGTTAATGTGACAAATGTTTCTGTCAGATAATATATGTTCCATGCATACCTCCACAGTAAATAAAAGTTATTTTATGAAGGATTTGGCATTTGGCCCTTCACTTGGTTTGCAAAACTTGATGTGGCCCTCTGGTCTAAAAAGTTTGCCCACCTCTGTACTCTGACATGTTTCATTCCTTCAGGATTCAGGAAAAGTAGATCAAAAGTTTTGTCTTAACCTTGATCAGACTCACCACTTTTTTTCAGGTAACGGAAGCTAAAGGCAAAGTTACGCCGTCTTTCTCCTGGCACCCAACTGACATTAACCGATGTTTGTCCAGCAGTTATGTTGAGTGCAGATGGTGGTTCTGCAGAGGGAACATGTAGATAATACAATATTGTAGATTATATTGTGTCCTGCTAACACACTAAACAATGAGAATGCTGTGCAGTTTCACCTCCATCCAGCAAGGTGGCGCCCTCCCTTACTATAGGTTCCCCATCACCAGCAGCGGTGCGTGCTCTAAGATCAAAGTGGTATAGGCTCTGAGGATTCAGACCCTTCAGTGTGAACTCAGTAACAAGGGGCAGATCGATGGATTCCACCTGTTGTGGGCTCGAAATCCCAGGCACAGCTAAACAGAGAACAGAACAGAAACCCATCAGAATGAAAACGACTTCACATTAAGCTTCTCTTTGTAAAGCTGTTCATTAATAACTGATAACCTGTCCTTAAATGCATTAAAAATCACATAAGCATATCTCCAAGGTAAACAAGCTGTTTCAATGTCTACTATTTATAGAAACAATCTAATCACTTAATTCACTGATACTGTATTATTTGCTTTGCTGCTTAAATAAGCTATATTTATAATTGTCTCTCAAAATTAGAATTTGCTGTAAATTTACTGTAAATCTGTTTCAAAGCTATCTGTATTATATAAAGTGCAAATACAGTTGAAATAAAAAGCCTGAGTTCACCCACTTTCGTAGTACTGCAGCAGGTAGCCTGTGAGCGCCCCGTTGGGTTTGTCTGGAGCTCCCCAGCGCAGGGTGATCTCTGTCTCTGAGGGGCTCTCGAAGGTCAAGAATGAAATTGGTCCAGGAGCTGGATGTCAGAAGAGCACAAGTTCAGCTGATCTAAATCCACATTCATAGAGGGGTGGCACTTTATAATAACTTTCATTCATAAATCATTAACAAACATTATATAATGCTTAGCAGATCATTAGTTAATATAAATATATTCACATAGCTAGAAATATTAGATAATGCTCTTGGTAATGTTTACTAATTATTAAACATTATCTAATGATTAACAAATTATTATTTCATGCAAGTTAAAATGCTTACAAATTTCATTAAACTTTCGATTCATATGATCAAGCACTTATTGAAAATCTACAAATGATTTTAACAGATGTTATACAATGATCAAAAGCTTGTGTTAATGCACAACACTTCTGCTGCTGTTGAGGTGTGATACGGGTAGGTTAGGGACGGACAGGTTTGGTGGTATGGGTAGGTTTACAGGTTGGTTAAAGGGTCAACAGTGTACAGGGGTCAGTTTGATTATTATAAAGGAACACGGTTCAATCTGCTTATATTATATTGTTTTGATAAATGAACTGAAGTATTCTTTAAAAAAATGATTTGTTTCCTCCTGTTTATTTATGATTCAAGGAATATACTGAAGAGTAATATACTAATGTGAGTGTTTTTCTGTTTGCTTTTTGTTTAGCAAGCATTTATCTAAATTTAATCAGCCACCCTTTACACAAACCTTGTTACAGTAGCCAAAAGTCCAGTGACCATAAAGATAGTAAATGATTAGTAATCGTTTATAAACATTTACAAATGATGAATAGTTTCAACTTTAGATTGGCTACTGCAAAAACATGAACAAATAATTAATGAATGATTAATAAAGATGTGTAAATAGTAGAAGTCTACACAACTGTCATGAATCCGGTCTGTGGCCTTCCGTCCAATTGCCACCAGAGGTCGCTCTCCCATTATACTGACTCTCACACCACACAGACTGTTACACATCACCCTGGACTGCATTTCCCATCATCCATTGCACTGATTGCACACAGCTGTAACCAATCACACGCTCACCTGAAAGTTATTACACACACTATATAACACCCACTCAGATCCTGCTCAAGTCGTAGAGTACTGTTTAGCATTTATCTCTCACCTAGGGATAGCTACTTTTCGGAGCCAATCCAAGTTCCTGAGTCTAGCCTTTTTCATAGTCTGTTTTCCAGTGTCTTGATCCTAGCCTGTTATCTCGTCCTGTCTGATCTCTGCCTGCCCTGAAGTTTATAGCCTGTCTTGGATTTACCCTTTGCCTTGCTGTTTCGGACTGTGTTTGCACCTCACCTGGACTATTGCTCTTGTTATTGGACTACCCCTTTTGTCAAGCCCCTTGGATTAAAACCAGTCAGTATCTGGTGTGACCACCATTTGCCTCACGCAGTGCAACACATCTCCTTCGCATAGAGTTGATCAGGTTGTTGATTGTGGCCTGTGGAATGTTGGTCCTTGCCACCAGAGGTCGCTCTCCCATTATACTGACTCTCACACCACACAGACTGTTACACATCACCCTGGACTGCATTTCCCATCATCCATTGCACTGATTGCACACAGCTGTAACCAATCACACGCTCACCTGAAAGTTATTACACACACTATATAACACCCACTCAGATCCTGCTCAAGTCGTAGAGTACTGTTTAGCATTTATCTCTCACCTAGGGATAGCTACTTTTCGGAGCCAATCCAAGTTCCTGAGTCTAGCCTTTTTCATAGTCTGTTTTCCAGTGTCTTGATCCTAGCCTGTTATCTCGTCCTGTCTGATCTCTGCCTGCCCTGAAGTTTATAGCCTGTCTTGGATTTACCCTTTGCCTTGCTGTTTCGGACTGTGTTCGGACTCGATTGGATTATTGCTTGTTTTGGATTACTGTTTTGTTTTGCCCTCAACATATCTGTTTGCTGGTTTCCGACTCTTGTCTGTGTTGACCATGCCTGTAAATAAAAGCTTGTATATGGATCCGCATGCCTCTCGTCTCATCGGCTCCGTTACAGAATACTCGGCCCCACAAGGATCCAGCAGCTTTTCAGAGGAACATTGGTCAGGTATGGACACAGCATGAATATTATTAGCACTTAAACAAGACCCACGATCGCTGGAGAACTATAGGAGAACTATATTCGAGAATATTTAGCAATAGCGCACTATTAGATTTACTGGACTGTCTTTTTATAGAGTTTTTTTGTGATGGCATTAATCAACCTCTACAATCTGAGTTTAGACGCGAGGGTCCGCGTTCGTCACTTGCTCAGGTTATGGATTATTCTCTGTTGTCTGTCGGTTCCTCATTCACCGTGGGTGTCGCGAAGGACGAACGCAACGTCACGTCCGTGCCTATCATGGCGACAACAGCGGAGTCCGTTCACAAAATGGCAGCGACAACAATGCTTTGTCATGTCACAGTTGATCTTCATGAGTCAAGTCAGGTCACCACTGATCTTCATGAGTCAAGTCAAGTCACAGCTGCTCTTTCTGAGTCAAGTCAGGTCACAGCTGCTCTTTCTGAGTCAAGTCAGGTCACAGCTGCTCTTTCTGAGTCAAGTCAGGTCACAGCTGCTCTTTCTGAGTCAAGTCAGGTCACAGCTGCTCTTTCTGAGTCAAGTCAGGTCACAGTTGATCTTCATGAGTCAAGTCAAGTCACCGCTGATCTTTCTGAGTCAAGTCAAGTCACAGTTGAACTTCATGAATCAGGTCACGTCTCAGCCAAACTTCCAGAGTTTTGTCACGTCTCAGTTGAACTTCCAGAGCCTCGTCACATCACAGCTGATCATCCAGAGTCACGTCACATCGCAGCTGA